AATTTAGGTTGGGAGTAAAAATTAAGGTGTACAATAATTCGGTGTGAGCAGTTCTGTTCCGAATCTATTTTAGCATTAGAGCATCTGACAGCTCCGCGCTTTCGATTGATTTTCTTTCTTAACGGTTGTTAACATTTGGTGAAAAAAACATGGACGTAATTCCGAGGACAGTCAACGCATGTTTGAGACTAATGCGAGATGTTATCCATTCAATGAAGTTATCATGAAACGGCCACATTTTTTTGGTTAGTGAATATGATTCCATTAGTTTTTATGCTGTTTAATGTTCATGAATAGTTTTGCAAAATTGTAAGCCCTAATGCAGTACGTTAACTCATGTTAGGGGGGGGGGACAAAAAGTACTTAGTAATAGCTGCTACCTTGAAGTGATGGTCAGGCTTGTATATCACAATGACCCAAAGAGTCATGCTAGTGGAACGCTTGTTCCCAGAAACGTCTGTAGTGATAAAATGAAAAGTTGTAGTGTACACTACTACACCATGAGGAGGGTTTGATGGTGAAGTGCTACTGCTAGTAGCTGGATGGTGTGGGACAGAAGTAAGATATTGAATGACCAGGAATGCCAAGCTGATGCTGCCTTCCTTACGGAAATGAGAAGGGGGGCTTAGAAAAGGTTGACCCTCAAAACAGAACATTCTTCCCAACGGTCTCCTGGTGCCGGCGGTATGGATTTATTGTCTCAAGCGTTAGGAAACCCAAACTTCAAAACAATATCCCACAGCTATGTATGGTAGGTCTCAAGCAGATGTCCCATGGGTACTGTGGTCACACAAATCCTTTTCTCTTTCAGGTACTTTAAGAAAGAAGTGAAGATATCTGGAAGCTTTCTCTATATTAAATAGGTTGCCATAATCAAATCTAATTAAAAGAATGAGCATTTTAGAACACTAGGAAATGAAGAACTTCGTTTTATTTGTTACTACAAATAACAGTTTGTCTATCGTTGCTATAAAGATAATCTAAACATTATTTTTCTTCACCTTCATCAGACTTGGACGTGAAAAAATCGATGATGAAACATAAGATCCTTCAAACACGAAAGGATAGTTTTCATTTATACAACTGACAAAAAGAATGTTCACTACTTGAGTTAAAAGTAAAATCTTATTGGCAATCGATCTTCGTAACGCACGATTTATAGTTAGTTAACGATTAGTCCAACGTTCTCTAGTTCTAAAACACGCAATTATTCATGTAATGTTCCAGAGTACCTATCCAGAGAATTATATCCCACAGCATTTCTGGCATTGATAGTGTTTATAAGTTTTAAGAACGATCCGGTGATCATATTATTGAATAAAAAGAGAATAACAAGACCAACTAAAAATTTGTACTTTTTTTCAAACAAGAATTTTGGGTACAGTGAGGCTCGGAAATAATAGTATGTGTAACGAAGCATTCCCTAATGAATTATATAGCATATTTTGAGGCATAATAATAATAATAACTGTACTAATAATGCTAATAATAAATCAATACAATATGTAGATCAAGTCGATTTCTATGAAAGTGAAGAACAAAAATGATGATTACCTGGTAGATAAAACGTTATATTATATGTAGCTAGTAGCAGTTATTGTCACAATCTTCATTGAAAAATGTAACAACGATACATGTAAATTAAAACTTCCTATGTGGACAATAGAACAAAACTTCTTTTCTTTTATTTGCTGTGAATTGTATATTTATCATTTCTCGAGAGAAAAATTAATAAAAACAGAATACTGTACTCTCTTCCATTTTTTCTTAACAAGGTAAACAAGTCAACGCTGAATAATAACTTCGATGCTGAACAAAGTGATACGAAAAGAGAGAGAAAGAGTAGGGTAGGAACGAAACAGTAAAAGCAACAGAGAAGTGGAATAAAATCAAATGAACCAAAAGGCAATCAGAATCAATTGTATCAAAAGCAATGTGAATTGAAACTCTGATATTATAAGGAGATAACGAAAACTTTATTTTAATGTATACACACTAGTTAAGAACTTGAGCATAGTTGAATTTTGTACAACAAACTTAGAATAGGGAACACTTTTGTTTATAGACAGTAAGAAGTATTAAAAACATTAGGAAATGTAACAAAGTGGTTAAAGAAAGTCAACGAAGGTAGCAGTTAAAATAAGAAAAAAAAATAGTTGGAAAGGAGGAATTGAATGGAACACAATAGGTTTATATATCAAGTTAGGAAAATATTCTAATGAAATGCCTGAAAGCATCAATCCATACAAAGCGACAGATACACAAACTGACACTGAAATGAAAAACATTCTCAGTTTTAAATTGTTGAAGCCCTTCAACCCAAAGTCATAGAATTCAATGGTAGAAGTTTTTAACATGCTGTAAGATAACCTTTCTGGGTCAATTTATTAGAAATGTCCCAAGGTGAAACAGTATCATTCTCTGGATGATGTTTCGAACATAATTTATTGTCCATATTCATGTCATGTAACTCTACAACTTTGAGACAATGTTTATATAGTTCTAATTTTCTCTCCATCTTTGTGACAAGGGTAGTAGAATTTTCCATATATGTGGGACAAGTGTAGAATCATTTCCATTACATGTATTCAGTGTTGATACGAAAAACCAAGATTCAGCTATCAATCTCCCCCCCCCCCCCACCCAACAAAGTGTTGAATACTGTCCCTCTAACCCATCCTACTGTGTGTGATTCCGTGCACAGCAATAGCCGAGCTTTTCTCTACACCTCTTGTCTTGTTAAGATCCACCAATCTTGATTTAGCTAAGATAATCTTGTACATAATTTGTGTACTAATCATAATTCCGCAATATATAATAATTTATGATCTCCAAGAAACCTAATCCAGGATGTAAAACAGAATAGATTCGTTTGAAAATTTCACCAAAATTTATATCGAACATTGCATAACGAGTACATATTGAGCAGAACACATCCTTAGTAAGAACTTCAATATGTTAAAAGTATAAAATATTTCTATGCTGATGATTCTCGGAAACGAAAATTTACATTTTTCAAAGCAATAGGGAACTTAAGGTTGCTTACTTAAAACGTACTCTTTTATTTAACTCTTCACAGATATGCCCAGTAGGAAAAATCTACCGTATTCTCTTGCATTTACGTAAGTAGTGCTTATTGGATAACTTGAAGGTAGTCTTCTTTAGGAGGCGGCAAAGATCAGTAAATTTACTGCATACAATTTAAGGATGTTGTGACAGAAATCATAAGTAAAGTACACTTGAATACCTTCAGTTATATTATTTCATTGGTGCACTCTTAAAAAAAAAAACCACTAGCCAATGGTTAATCTCATTTTCGTGCGGCGAAATTCTAGTGTGTGGCACATATTTCTCCCATGTAACTTTGAAAATGCCATGTATATATATATATATATATATATCTTGAGATGATGTTGGAGTGAGAAATTTGTTTTCGGCAAAGTTATCTTTTACACTTGTACAGCAGCCACTGCGTTTGGTTATCATGGAGCCATTGGTTAGAATTTAGAAAGTATTGAAAGTAGTTGAGGGGAATAATCAAGTAATATATGACCCACAAATAGAGGTTTAGACTGAAGAAATTTATACAAGTTTACGCATTTATGCATAATTACCGGACGAATGAATTTCCTAGAGAGTGAAAACACGAAAATTCGTTAGTTTGGCTGTGGCAAAGGTTTCTTCGTATAAGTGACTGCTCTCCCAAATTATCTATCTGGAATTCTTTTGCCAAGAATAATTTCATACGTTAGACATCTGATAAGTCCTTAGTAGCTGATTAAAGCTTTTAAAGAAGGTCAGACAGAAATCAGTTATGTCTTCTGTGTGAATTGCAGCTGAAAAGCGACAGCATTCAAAAGAAAAAAAATTATGATCAGACTAAATGTTCACTCGATACATATCTGATACATAAACCGAAACGTTTTCATATTTTGTTTACTAACAAGGGATTCATAAACACCTTGTTAAATAGAAATCAGAGTATATTCTGGTGACATGCTTTTCACACTCATCAAATGTAAGATGATGCACCAGTACCGGTTTGCGATTACTCTTGGCTTAAGGATAGGGAGTGAAATGGTGGAATGTCTTGACCACTTCCGTTACTTAAGAAGTTGCATCAGACCGAATATGCTGGTTGCTGACGAAATCTTGGATCAAATACAGAGGGCCTATGGTGCCGACTGGTAAGATATCCAACTACTTATCAGAGACCTAGTATATTGCGTTGCAGTCCGTTCTGGCCTTGTTATACGGCTGTGAGATATGATAGTTAAGAGAAAAAGTCATGAATCGGTTGCAGGTTTCTGATCATAGGTGTCTTTGTAGCATTGCTCGTCTGCGTTCGGTGAAATCACCGTGTGAGCAACGTTGAGGTTACAAGGCAAGAAAGGAAAGTTGGTTGATGAGGCTGTGAATGTTTATTGACTGAGATGGTCTAGACATGTGTTGCACATGCCAATCCACCACCTACGTCGACGTGTTATGTCAGGAGAAGATGAATTAAGTTGGAAGGAGGTTTGGGGTGACAAACTAATACGTGGCGCCAGTCCATCAAGTCCTTGACTGTCAATTTGAACCTCGAAGGGAAGTGTAGATTGCTTAATCGAGGTCCTCGGGACGATAGAAATCAGTAGTTGAGGACATGAGGTGGCTGAAAATTGATCATCTAAAACTTGAATACAAGCACTAACCGTTATCTTCAAATTGTTTATTCTCTCATACAACTTCTCACTCCTTTTCTATCCACCTATTCTTTGTGTACTTGAGCTGGTGCACCTGTTTGTGACGTTGTACGTTGATTTTTTCAGCTAGTCAGTTTGTTATTTGATACTTATACTTTCATTATTCAGAACTAAATTTATAAATGGTGAATTACTGGGAATTACCATCGAGTTACAGTCACTGCAGAACTAACATGCAACTTCATAAGAAAGCTCTCCAGCATAGTAAGTCAACAACAAAATAAGTGACCAGCTAATTTGCATCGGATAGGAATTCAAATACATATTTTTTATTTAACCAAGATTATTTATACTTAGTAAAATAACGTACTAAACTTTTATCAATATCTATATGGTGCAAAAATGAGTTTCTTGTATGAATAAAAACGTCGGCGGATATGTAAAACAAAGATAACGGTTGTTCTCTATGGATTTCAAAATCCTATATATACATTGTCAATCGATGCTATTGAGATGGATGAGTGAATTTAACTTGATCAGCTGATCCAGTGAAACGTTTAATTCCCTCAGCCTTAGCTATGCGACTGCCAAATTGCATTGCACGTTTCGGTTGTTTAGATGCATAACTCAAATTCAGCATTAGAGCAACTTGACGCAGTAAAAACTTTTCACCTTGACCTTTAGGCAAATCAGGATTTATCTATTAAGAGAGAAATAGAAAATCACAAACACAACAATAATTTGAATTACACTAAGCAATTTAGTAATTTTAAATGATAATTGGTTATTGTTTCACCGATTCAACAAATGAGACAAAACATTTTTAAATTGTAAGTATTGCATTGGCACCAGGACTGCCCAGAAGCTCTCATTTTTTCCTCACATGATCTCCTCTATGTCATCCTCGGATACCCAACTCGTCGTTTCCTCTTTAAGTTCCATTCAAGAGCCTGGCCTGGCGTGTGATGTCCCCAAATAGTCTTCTCAGAGGATGCGTAATCCAATCCATCTCCATTTTCTTCTGCATATTTGTTGGGGGATGGGTTCCTGGTTAATTCGTTACCAGCCAGAGTTCCTTGTTGCTTGTTCTTTCTGGCCATCTGAGCTTCAGTGACAAGCCAGCATGGGCAGTTGTTGATGAATATCTATAGTTTGTTGGAAATGCTTTTCGTAACGCGCCAAGTTTCTGAACCATATTGCAGCACTGAGTTGACAATGGTGTTGAAAATTCGGATCTTGTTCCACGTGCTGAGTGCAGAAGATCTCCACACTGGTTTCAGACTAATGAACGCCTGTCTTGCTTTTACGATCCTGGCTGCTTGGACGTCCTCGTCTGTGCCGCCTATAATTGAGACGATGCTGGTGTGGTGTTGGTTGGGTATCTTCATCACCTCTGTCTTCTCTACGTCCACTTGAAGTTACGTCTTCGCTGCCCTGCCTCTTCTGTCAACTTGTTGGATTTTGCCTGTAGATCTTCAAGTTTGTGTGACGTTAGACATCAGTCATCGGCGAAATCCAAATCTACTGGGTTTTTTTTCCCCGGTTCGGTTTATCCCCCATAATGAAGAATATTCTAGACTAGCTTCATTTGACAACTGCTTACTAATAAGTATCGGTGTAATCACTGACCTGGTTGTGGCAAGCAATGGAATCCAGCAAGCACGTTTCATCCTATTTGGGAGTCGTCAGCCAGATGTACCTGCACCTCAGTGAGTGATGTTATCCCCTTCCCACAGACTCGAACCCAGTATCCATCACTTCAAACGCCCCTAGGAACATGAAAATTACATTCCAAATAACTGTAGATAGAAAGTTAGACAATAAATATCCATTTGATTCGCATTGATCACTTCGAAACAAACATGAACAAATGGAAATTGTCTCAATTACTGCTTGAAATTTATTGATAAACAAATGTATTATAAACACTAATCTGTAGTACCACTTTGCAATATACCACGACAGAAAGAAATTTGCAAGAAGGTAAAAAAGTCTTTTTTCAGTGATTTACACAAACTAGACAGTAAGTAAATGTATGATTTCTATAATGAGTTCTCTAAACTGAGGTTTTAGTTAGGAAACGCATGATTCTTCGAAGGGATTCCTATCATTGTAGGTGAAAATGTGAATAAATCTTTTATGATAAATGCTGATACTCATGCAAACCAAGTGAAAGTATTCTCACTGATTACAATTAAACAGAAAGTTTGAACTAATAAGTAGACGAGTGTTTTGACATTTCAATGTAACAAAAAGCTTGTTCATTTTATTTTATGCTTTTGTCTACAGCCAACGCATTTATCATGTTTTTGAAAAAAAATTCGAGAACTTGGAAAAACAGTATATATATATATATATATATATATATATATATATATATATATATATATATATATATATATATATATATAAACAGCACTTAATCATGATAAATTTCCAGTCATTGAATAGTTGACACTTATAATCAACAACTAGTACATAACAGAGTGCGAGATAAAATCGGTTGTTATGAACAACAAATAAAGTAATAAGTTGAAATGAAAACTTCACTAGTCCTTCATTTTTAGGAGAGAAAGTGATTGAAATTATTATATCCTGCAATAAAGTCATTAAACAAGTGATTGTTAACGACTGTTTATATTTATCCTTTAGGTTATCGACTTTCTCTTGTAATAATACTCTGTGTGTGTATATGTGTAAAAGAGATATATTTAAAGTACGTGTTGAACCCCAATAAGCAGTACAGATTATTTCAGACTATATTTTATAGGATTCCAGAATATGTAGTCTATAAAAAAACATAAGGAGAATGTACTCAGTGTAGAAATACATATCTAGTGTTTTTTATTACTGTTATGGATAAATAAACTTGTGGTTAACTCGTGCATCCCAATTAATGATATACAAAACAATCATAAAGTTGCAATTTAACAATTTATCCGATGTCAACTCAAGATTCTATTTCCGATCAATTAACAGTATTTATATTGGGTGATAATTGAAGGTGAAATAAAACTTGGATCGCGGTAGGACTCGAATCAGCGACCACTAAGTCTTCTAAGATAGTCAAAATGATAATTATTATTGTTTAGCTTAGCTAGCTTCATTATTTTGCAGTTAATTCATTTAAAAAAAAGTTCACCTTAACATTGAACAATAATGCCTGGACATTGGTAGTTAAAGAGGGAATTTCCATGACGGTGTCACAGCGCAAACTCATAAATACTGTCCTTACGACATCTGCCAATAATTTTAAATTTACTGGACCAAAATGATCATTTTCTCGTTATTAAAGCGTAAAATGTCAAAATCCTTCTCATTTATTCTCATTGAAGTATTCAGACTCAACATTCATAGTTATACGAGTAGTGAATAAAGTATACAGTGTAATAAAGAAATACAAAAAAAAATAGGGATAATACAAACAATAACTTAGAGGTAGTATTCACCATAGACTCAAATCGGTTGGAGGAAGGCTGGAAACCTGGGAGCACTGGACAGCTGTTTCGCCTTAGTATGGGACTCCTCGGCAGTGCTCCCAGATTTTCAATGGTTTCCCAACTGATGTCAGTCCATGATGAATACTATCTCTAAATTTAAAATCCCAATTCATCTCAAGAGTACATTACAAACAATAACATTGAAACTATACTCGTTGGACAAGGAGTGGCTGTCGTGACTCGGTGGTTTAGTGATTGACGCTTAGAGGTTTGAAGAGTTCGGTCCGAGTTCGAGTCCTAGTGGGAGCAACATCGCACCCTAGGGCGCAGGTACATCCAGCTAGCGAGACCCAAATAGGACGAAACGCGTGTACTGGATTCCACTGCTAGTCGCTAACCATCAGAAATATGTCATTCAAACACAAGCAATATCGAAGCATCAGCACAGGAGCCACATGCCGATAGACATTGAACAACTGGACCCACTCAATAACGAGATAATACAACACTAAATACTAAATTTATCTAAAATCAAATAGGACGAACCCAATACTGCTTATATTGGTTACAATTATAATAAGACTCTCAAATTTTAGTGAATCTGAATTCAGTAAAGTTGAGAATCCAAAGGTGTTACGAAATTGGATAACAATAAACAGCAAATTCGTCTAACATATTTATTTGGACACTTTGAATAGAGTGGTAAAAGATGGTTCTATAGGGTAGGAGGGGGGTGCTGACAAAATATCTTAGCATGAAAAAGTCCATAAAGCATGAATGGAAAGTGCTTCTGAAAAGTAAACTTTAAATTTGACTATCCAGTTATGGACGATTATTGGTTAGAAGAACAATTCAAACCACTAGGCACTTAGTGCGAAGCGATGCATTTCCAGTTAGATATTTATTTTGTAATTTTCTCCATCGCTTAAGTCTCCTTGATAACTCAGACTATATGCAGCTTACTTAATTTGTCACTTTGTACGATTAGGAGATTGAACCCCACTGTACTGATGTCACAGTTACACTAGTGACCAAGATCACGTTCTAAAGCCTAGAATGAACTATGATCTGAAACACGAAGGATTCTGTCAAAGTTGACGTCACCAACCAGATAGCTAAGGATAGAAATTACAAGAGTAAAGTCAATATCACCACCCAAAAATAAATCTAAACACTAAAATGCACATAGCAAAATAGTAGGAAAATGTTGGCACAAATACAAATATAATCTACCACTTGCAGTTTAACGGTGAATTCATCATCGTAGACAAAAACGGTTGACCTATACTTTAACTAACCAAGTGTACAGTTCTTTTTCACTCCATCTACTTTCTATTAAACGAAAAAGAATCTTAGCTACTTTAAAAATAAAATGACCGTAATGAAAATAATGTGATCGTTTTCGGTCAAGTACCTGGTTGCTATTTGAATGTATCAAACTGTCAATATAACACTTTCGTTCTTTCAGTGAAAACGCCAGTGTGGTACATCAGTTATTCATATGGAAATGTTAACTATATAGATGGATTATTTTCATAAACAATACCATAGTTACTATTCTATAGGTCTAAACCACATTTCTGAATCACGTGAATCGCATAATTGTGATAGCAAATGTACACTGAAAGAATATCCTTGCCTTCGCCTACGATATCATGCGTTTCGCACACTGACATGTAAGAAAATGGTCTGCAACCAGTCCCGGTTTAAGAATAAGGAGTGAAGTAGTGTTGACCACTTTACTTAACTAGGAAGTTGCATTAGCTCGGACAGGCGGGTTGGTGATGAAATCTCGGTTTGGATATAGAGGGCCCGTTCGGCATTCGCCAACTTGTATCAGTTGACGAGGTATCCGACTACCTATCAAAAGAACGAGTATGCTGCGCTGTAGTTCGCTCTATACAGTTGTATGGCTGTGAGACATAGACGTTAAAAGCAGAAGATGTGAGGAGGTTATAAGCTTTTGATCACTGGTGTTTTCGTAGAATTTCCCGAGTTTAGTGAAATGGTCGCGTGGTCAATGTTGAGATGAAACGAGGGATATTAAGCGAGAAAAGTAATTCGATTGATGAGGCTATAAATGCTTATTGAGTAAAATAGCATGCACATGTGCTACACATGCCAAGCCACCATCGACGTCAAAGTGTCACGCATGGGAAAGTTGGATTAGGTTGGAAGAAGATTTATTGCTACTGTAAAGTGTGGTAATTTGCAGTGATTCACTTTTGTATGTGAGGTTCTACGTTTATTTTGTCTGTCA